ATAGGAAATGGAATTAAGAAATTTGACGTTTTTCCTTTTATTCATATTGATCTTAATTTTATACTTAGTTCTTGTTAACTTATTCTGACCCTTGTTTAAATTTAAAGAGATTCATTTTTTTGGTTTGGAGTTCTGACTATGAATTTTATGGTTGCAATTATCCAGTGTACTCTTGCTGCCATTGTGATCTCTGCTGTGATAGGTCTGGTAAGAATTCATCTTCGTGCTGAAGCATTAATTCCATGTCCAACATCCATGTATAGATGGAAATGCTATTTTATTCAATTCAGAAACAAGAGGGAGAAGTAACTTTATTAGTCATTATGTGGTAGACCGGAAACTCTAAAGTTTAATGTTGAAGTAGAGTTCATCTCTATCCTTGTTAGACTTATATGATATATATTTGATCTTTATAACATTATTAACTTGGTTTGGTTTTGTTTTGGAATCTAATCCACTGCATGGAAGTGTTTATCTAGCTTTTACTGTAACTTTTACTGTTCTAATATGGCAACAAGTCCATGTTTATTAATAGTTATCTAATCATCTAGTTTGTGTGTAATATTTTGATGTCTAACTGAAATAATTTTATAATATGCAAATTTAAACAATGCTCTCTTGCAGATTTTAGTTTAGGTGCTAAATCATTTTGCTGGTAAACTTGTTTGTCTAAAGTCACCTGACTAAGTTTAGCTGGTTATCACACTTTTCACATCTCAGCATTTACTCCAAATTTTTTACATGACCATTTCAGGTAGATTATGATGAGGCCATTTTTTTGTGGCGTGTAGATAAGAAAGATTTTCTACTTTGGACCATTACCAGCACAACTACGTTATTCCTTGGTATTGAGATTGGCGTAATTGTTGGGGTAGGTGCAAAGTGAAATTTGTTATATTAATAAGTAATGGTTGTGTAATGATTGCAGAAATTTCCTTTTCCTTTTTATTCTTTTGTTAAGAAACTCCTCATGTCCTGATGCATCTCCTTACTGTGATAACTCCTTTGTTGTTAAGATGATTTCTCTGTGTTCCACTTGCTAAGTTGCTTCATACTCCATGTAGTAAGATAATCACTTTTCTGACTTTGTAAGCATTTTGAAATTTTAGGTTGGTGTTTCACTTGCTTTTGTCATTCATGAGTCAGCAAATCCACATATTGGTAAGTTGATTTGTCTAGATACGTCTTATGTATGTCTTTCTTCATTTCATCATGTATGGAGTCGAATCGCATATTTTATCTTTCGCATGGTCATATCCAAAAATCATGTTATTCATCCAAATATTAATTTAAGTAAACATAAAACCTTACTTACTGATGACAAACTTGAACCTAAGTCCTAAAGTGGTAACTGGTGAGATCAATCATGGGTATTTATGCATCAGCAGAAAACAAAAAAATGATTTTATAATATTTTGAAGACCATTTTCTGATTGATGGCAAACCTGTACAAGATACAGGAATACTAGCTAACAGCCCATACAGTATAAAGGAAGTGTAATAGACACATTTTGTTTTACTTTTGCGTTTAATGAATAAATATTTTGAGTATGCTGATATTATTATTGTTTGCTGTGTGCTACAGCTATTTTGGGACGTTTGCCAGGAACAACTGTTTATAGAAATGTTAAACAGTATCCTGAAGCATATACATACAATGGAATTGTAATTGTTCGTATTGATGCTCCTATTTATTTTGCAAACACAAGTTACATAAAGGACAGGTAACAAGAAATCAACTAAAGCCGACATTTCGGAATAAAGGGCGTTGTTTAATTTCTTTAGTGTTTTCTATCAGGTTGCGGGAATATGAAGTTACTGCTGATACTTTTACAAGACATGGACCTGATGTTGAAAGAATTTATTTTGTTATTCTAGAGATGGCTCGTAAGTCTTACTTACCCTGTGCTCAAAGAATATGCTTTTTGTTTGTTTACTTACTACGTTACTAGTTAATGATCTGAAATAGATGAAATCCTTAAAATATTTCAAATCCAGCACAGCAAGGAAAACACAAAATCAATTTTTGTATTGTATTGTTCATGTGTCCAAACACAGTCATTAGACAACTTGTTTCTCAGCATGCAAGGATTTTGTTCCTTGAAGCTTTTTCTTTTTGCTTTTTTCTTCTGTGTTTTCTCAGTCTTTCATGTTATGGTTATTGAAAGTATTTTACAAATCAAAGAACACCTTCTAGCACTTTTTATTTTTGTTTTTACATGGTCCAAAACTAAATTCTTTACCAAAGCCTTTGTTGTATGAATTGACTCTAACTATACCAGATTAGTATTTTTTCATGTCATGTTAATATTCCATCTGGTTGTTGACTAACCATGGTACCATGTCATTTGTTTGAATGATGAGTCACTAGTAGAATGACATAACTTACCAAAACATAGAAATTTATTGTAAATAAAAATTACATTGCAACAGCTATGCCACAATTGTAAGTTTACCAATTGGAATGCAACTACACATGTTCAATTTATAATTAATCATCTAGGGAAAAACTAAAACAAAGAATATTTGATAAAACATTATAACTTTGAGTAAGGACTCCTTCATAATACAGCATTATGAGCTGTGAAATAAATGTTTATATGGTGTATCATTATGAAGTTTGAATTGTGTATCACTAAATGTTTTAATTTGGGGGTCTTAACACTTACCCCTTTTCAACTTATGCACTACTGTCATAGACTTGGATGCCATTTCCATTAAATGATTCTCATATTCGTTGATGTAATTCTTAACATCTGCATTGTGTAATTGACATAGTTATTGCCTAAAATAGTTTGAGTTGAATAGTATAAATTCATTCTAAATTTTGATTGTGTGCTATTTTTATTGTTACTTTTTAGTTCCCTCAGATTTCCGATTTACATGAACAACATTGTACTGATATGTTTAAGTGTCCACTATATTTGCTCATGCACTAAACCATAAAGGAGATAATGATAATCTCTATTCTAAGTAAATGGTTATGATGCTTGCAGCTGTGACCTACATAGACTCTAGTGCTGTTCAAGCTTTGAAGGACTTGTATCAGGAGTACAAATTACGCGACATTCAGGTAGAGTTAGACTTATGGAATTTCAGTTGATTGTTTGAGTTCTTGTATCATTTCAATGTTCCACAAAGTAAACCAACTCGAATGGTTTTTTCTTCTTCTTTTAGATTGCAATATCCAATCTAAACCCAGATGTTCTGCTTACACTGTCTAAATCTGGTGTGGTGGAGTTGATAGGCAAAGAATGGTACTTTGTGAGAGTACATGATGCTGTTCAAGTTTGCTTGCAGCATGTGCGAAGTTCGGAAAGGGGATCTAACAACAGTTCACAAACATCGCTCGCTTTATCAGACGATAAACCGAGTTTCTATGGGCAGTTACTAAAACAAACTGGAGAGAACCTTCCAATTTCCGACCTGGAGTCTGGTAAGGGAAGATCTCCACTTTCCAGGGACAGAGATCCTCACTTGGAGCCATTGTTGTCAAAAGAACATTGATTTATGCTTTGTGTGTAGTGTAAAAAAAATGTATTTAGCCATTCTTTCAAAGAGTTTTGTAATGAATAGGCTTTGTTGTTACAAAACATAGTGCAATCAAACTAATGTTAAAAACATACTCTGTATATTATTCAATTTACCACTTTTTGTAAAATATACTGAGTGAAATTTTTAAGAATTTGTTGTGTATTTATGTTATCCTTTGGTGCAACTCTCCTATCCTTCTTATTTATCTATACACCTAAAAAATTAACTACAAGGTTACCTTCTAGGAAGACTCATAAGGAAAGTGACCATGGGCACAAAGGGGATGAAGTAATACCAGAAAATGAGGTAAAGAATGGTAAATGTTATTAATTCCAAGTGTGAATAATGTTGTACAATGACTCATATTCAATGGACCGAACCTCTTCTCATCGTAACAGCAATACAAGTTATGAGTTTGAGCTGATGTAAATGGTTGGGGTAAAGAAATATGTATATTTATGTTATGTAAACCTTATGTAACAAGGAGAACAATAGCTAAACACAAATCCTTGTTCTCTAATACATAGTCGTAGCCTCTCAACGCTCCCGGCAATGTAGGTACAATTGGCCGAACCTCGTTACCAAATTCATTGCATTATTTTCTTCTTTTTTACTATTTGATTGTTCGATTGTTCCCAACAAATAATGTGGTGAGGAAGTCCCACATCTGAATTCCTAAGGCTATCATAATAATGAGCTCAACTACTTAAAAGATGTAAAACTCAAATGCATCTTATAACACATCAAGAACTTTTTCTGCTATCATTTTTTACTAGAAATCATACAGTACCAGCATGCAACATAACACATGTATCAAGAGCCTAAACCATAGTGTTAAAAGGGTACAATATATTCTGTCATTTTATCAAACTCAGATCTGTAGTTGACTTGGTTATATAGTTGGTCATATTTATATTAAAAATTTCATAATACTAGACAACATTAAGGAGCAATATATTACAGATAATTTAAAAACAACAACATATGAATGCTTATATAATTAAGGAGCAAAAATTTCATTACTGTTGGGTCACCCAACACACATTTCTCTCAATCCTCATTCCACCTTCTCATTTGTATCACACAACCAATATGCTCCACTCAACTTCTCAAATTGCCTCACCCAACACACACCATTCACTCAAACTTCCTCAAACCACTCCAATCTCACTCACTCTCTTCACAATCTTTGTAGAAACTGAGCATGCATATAGATCATAGTTGATTAAGATTTCCGCCACCGGGGCAGATTGACCCGACAGCTGAAACCAGTTAGCACCAACATTGGCCTAAGTAAACTAAAGCATTGAAGTTCTTCTCCTTAACCCCACTTCATTATTCAGCAGTGCTAAGTGGTTTTGAAGGTTGAAGTGTATTTAGAATTTTCTAAGTCCCACATAGGTGAGAGCTATGTGGGTCACCAAATATGAAGTATATAAATAAGAGGAGTGTTACAACATTGAAACTTGCCTTAAACTAATGAGTAAGGAAAACAAAGCGAACGGTGGGAACCGGTCGTAGCATCCAAATAATGGTGTGCATGAATTTATGGAGGGGTTATAGGCTGGCTTAGTGTTGATGCTGCTTACTTTGCAGAACTCACTTGTGCAGGCCTCCCATAAATACTCCCCACAATTATAGTCTCAAATATTTACTTTTTCATTGTTAATTGTGTTTCTTGAAAAATCTTTAATTTACTTATTATATCTTCTTCAAAATCTTTACTTTAATGAAATCATATTCAATATTCAGTTCGCATGTGATGTGTTTGTTGAAATGCTTGAATTGAAAAATGTGAATAAAAGTAGAGTTTTAATGAGGTTACATTTTTTGAGTTTTAATGAAATGTATGTGAAATAAGTGTGATTTCTTTAGAGGCAAAATAGTATGAGTTAATACATTTGTTTATTACAAAATACATAAATAATTATAAGGAAATATTATTTAAATCACTCTTATACGATATTATAATGAATAAAAAATAATGAAAATGTCATATTATTTGGACTTGTTTCTATAATATACCATATTTTGTTTAAAAAATTACACTTATTTTACATGTAGAGATAATTTGTGTAATGTATGTAAAAAAAATCAGAGGGTTTAGTGTAGGAGTAAATCAGAGGGTTTAGTGTAGGAGTAAAAAATGGATGAGTAGTTTGTATAATTTCACTTAAACTCAGAGGTGTCAGTCTAATTTACTAATAAAAATATATCCTCTTCAAAATCCTTACTTCAATGAAATTATATTCAATATCCAGTTGGCATGTGATGTGTTGTTCATTAGATTTTACATGAGACGTTATGCTTTGGTGTATCTCTACCTTTAGTACATCTTCGTGATAAAAATAAAATAAAAATATGTATGCGTTGTGTAAGATTTTTATAATGTGTAATAGATAAAGGGTGAAATCTAACCTGCGAACTGGGAATTGGTTTGTTTCGGTGCGAACTTTATTTTAACCGTTGGATGAGAAAATGCGGTAACCTGTAACCTGTGAACAACTTGTAGGAAGTCGGTTTTGGGGGGTGTAGTTTTAGTTGGGAAGTTGTTTAGGGGTAAACCGACTTCTGTATAGAAGTCGGTATCCCCTAAACCGACTTCTGTGTAGAAGTCGGTAGGGGAAAAAACAACATCACTGATTCTCGGTTTAGGCGATACCGACTTCTATACACCGACTTCTCAACAGAAGTTACACTGGGCCAAACCGACTTTTGTTGAGAAGTTACTCTGGCCCAAACCGACTTCTCAACAGAAGTTACACTGGGCCAAACCGACTTCTCAACAGAAGTTGCTCTGGCCCAAACCGACTTCTCAACTGAAGTTACACTGGGCCAAACCGACTTCTCAACAGAAGTTGCTCTGGCCCAAACCGACTTCTCAACAAAAGTTACACTAGGCCAAACCGACTTCTCAACAGAAGTTGCTCTGGCCCAAACCGACTTCTCAACTGAAGTTACACTAGGCCAAACCGACTTCTCAAAAAGATATCCCGGTACCCAGTCACCCATCCAACGGCTCAAATGAATTAAAAAAATCGTACGGCTATTATTTCAGTTCGTATTAAAACGAACTAACCTGCAGGTAGCAGGTTAGTCACGGCCTATAGCTTCTCAATTATCCAACTCAATCCCCATTTATTTTTCACCTTCAAAGTGCCATATTTTTTTCTTTCTGAATTTGTTTCTAAAAGAAATAAGGAGGCTTTATCTAAGAACTAAAGGATTGACAATCCAAGAAGAAGAATTAGAAAATAATACATCTCTTTATTATTGAATAAAAAATGTATATTACAAAAAAGTAAAGAAAAGTGAACTAGACCCCTCATATAAATAGGATCCAAGTACACAACAAGAAAAGTTATAACTAATCTTTAACTAACTTGTGCAAGAAAAGAGCACATGTTGAAATGCCTAAAATATCTAAAAATGAGTGTAACTTGTGAAACAAGTAACTGAATCTGTTAGCATTTGAAGTGGTTGCCTTCTGCTCAACTATTTCTGATGCATCTGCACTGAAATCTGGTGTGCCAAGGTCTGGTGCATCAGTGCCTGATTCTGGTGCATCCTGGCCTGCTTCTGGTGTGGCCTGGCCTGCTTCTGGTGCATCCTGGCCTGCTTCTGGTGCATCCTGGCCTGCTTCTGGTGCATCCTGACCTGTTTCTGGTGCATCCTGACCTGCTTCTGGTGCATCTTGGCCTGCTTCTGGTGTGTATGTGTCTGTCTTACCTGCGCAAGTCAGCCTACTTGTTGGCTTAGTCACCTGTCTGGTATGTTAGGTCAGTTGGCCAACTTTCTAGGTCATTTGGCTTGTGCATATGGTATTAATTGAGGCTTCATGATTTGATAGTTTCTTTAATTATTTTTTCACTTATGAATATATCAAATTTGAAAATAATTAAATATATATATGTCATTTTTCTATACACACATTACCCTAAACTTATGAAGTTATTGTGATTTGTTAGTTTCTTGCATCAATTCTCTTTCATTTATGTTACCATTATCTATTTATTAGTGGACTATTATGTAGTTGATTGATTTTAGTGGGGCCAATATATTCTCGAAGTTCATTAGAATGAATTTCGTTATCTATTTTTCTACTTGTTTCTCTTTGTAATTTATAATTTTTCTTTAAAAAAAAAGTTCCATTAATCTCAAGCTTGCAAACCCTCATTTTCTAGGTAAGGAAGTAATCTCTTTCGGGGTTCGTGGTTGTCCCTTCCAACAAGTGTCACTCTTAGGAATCAAATACTTAACATTTTGGTCTTTCTAAGGATGTAGTCGAACCTTATACTACTAGACCAACGTCTTCTTGTTAGCTTGCATTATTATGAACCCTATTTGAGGGGCAAGGATCCTATGTCCATAAATTTTTATGTCTCTATATCCTTAATTAAACAAACTTCACAAAATAATGTTAAAATTTAAAGAATATTAATTTTGTGGATAGATTTAAAAAGAATATTATTCAAAATTTAAACAAAATTTAAAAAATAATGTTTCTCTACATCAATGCAAAAGAATATTCAACCCATTATGATTTTGTGGATAGATTTTTTTTATTTTTTATGATTGGTGAACAAATTCTCCTCAATACCATGATTTTTTATTTGTTGAAATTGAGAAAATCAAAAGATTTCTTTAAAGATATATTTTTTAGTTAAATTTAAAAGTGTTTATGCACAAACAAATATTAGTAGCTGTAAGAGATGATATAAATAATTGTTATAAGAGGGTCATTAAGACATTCTTTGACATGTTGAGCTTTATCATCAATTCTAAGTTCAACAAACAAATATTTTTCATAGGAAACTTCTGATTTTATCGATTTCACCAAATAAAATAAAAACATGACATGGTGAAGTATTTGTTCATCAATAATCCACAAAAATATATACCAGATTCAATATTATTTTCCATTGCATTGCACTTGCACATGTGAGTGTTGCCACATAAACATGAGTAATTTTATGAATGACTTATAATGCTTTTCAAGTGAAAGGAATAAAGTGATTTGAACATCAATCCAAAAGGAGTAAGAATCATCTTCATTAATGAATAGACAAGTAGTACGAAAATAAAGGAAAAATAATATGATAAAATATTTTTATCCTTTTATATATGTTAAAGTTTCATCTCGAAACCAATTGACAATGAGAGGAGTAGCCTAACATATATTTAAATCATTCCCGAGACAATGCGGTAGGTGATGTGAGACTTACTTTCCAATATGATCACTCCACATAAGTCTGTCGAACCAGACGAATGGTTAACTTTGACCCATAACTAAAGGGCATCCTTTGGTCTATGACAACCGGAAAGAAGTTGAGTTATGGCTCTGATACCATGTTAAGGTTTCATCTCAAAACTATTTGACAATGAGAGGAGTAGTCCAACATGTATTTAAAACATTCCTGAGACAATGAAATAGACGATGTGTGACTTACTTCCTAACAAAATATAAAGGAATAACACTTTTATCATTAAAATCACAAAGAAAAACAAGTATTTGCTTGTTCTATGTAAAGGGTTCAACCTTTTCCTACATGTAAGAATGTGGAAATGTAAGGACTAGATTGTTTCTTAATAACAATACTCATCAAAGATCCTTCTAAACATCTTAAATTGGTCAAATTTTGGGTTCTATATAAACAAGGAGAGAAATTAAATGAATATTTTACACAAATTAAAGGCTTGATCAATTACTATTAAGAATTATTTTTAATAAAACAATTATTTAATGACTGATATAACAACTATGGAATTTTTTAAAGGGCATACAAAATAAAATAATTGAAATTTGGAATACATCTAGAAGGAAAGTCATTAGAAATATATTATATAGATACCATATTCAGTAATAATGATGATTTATTTAACATTTACTAATGAGTAAATAACATTATATTTTATATCTCCAAGTGGGAAAAACTTTATGTTCCAACATAATGGAAAGGAATATTCAACTAGTTACATTTTGAGCATAGGTACACCCCTCTTTCATAATTCATATTGATGAACAAAAGATAGACAATGCAATAATACTGTTCGGTGAGATTGAGAAAATGTAATTGTTCAAGAAATTATTTGTTGAATTTAGAAGTATTGATGAAGATCATGGAGCCAAAGAAGGTTTTTAAGGTTGTCTTTTTTAATTACCCTTGAATAACCATTATGTATTCAAGAATGAAGAGATAGAATACATAATTGCTATTGGATAATCATCAACAATACCTCCTTAAACACTCTTTTGACATTTTGAGCTTTATCATCAATAAATAATTCAACAAACATATTTTCTTTTAAATGAAATCTTGTCATTTTTTCAATTTCACCAAATAATATCATTACATTGTGAATTATTTGTTGAACAATGTGAAAAGAAGGAGGAAACTTATCCACAAAATCATACTAGGATGAATATTCTTTGAGTATAATATATATGCATTGTTAGTGTATAGATTTATATACAGTTTGTAGACCATTCATCATTTATTTATATTTATTTTAAGAGTCAAGTGATGATTAAAAATAAAAATAGTAAATGATAGATTGACAGTGTATTCTTTTCCATGAAGGTAAATGAACCCTGAGCCATCTCTGCTAAATATTTTC